TTTCCAGTAAAAAAGGTTCCAGTAAACCGTATCTTGTGATATGATGATAATAAGATCATAACCTCAATATTGTACTCAAGTGCGTGTACTTGAGCTGAGTAACGTTTATTAATACGGGCATTAGTATGTGAAAGAAAAGAAAATTGCCTAAATTGCTATTAAAGTATTATGTACGGTACTAGCATTCTATATTGCTCCGTTTCGTTTATTGTCTAAGGTTTCTCAATGCAGCGAAACTTAATTTATTCGCAGTTTGCTGCTACGAGTATGAAACCTCATTTGTTCGTAACGTTAAAGGGAAATAAAATAGCTATTATTAAAGTGAGTTTAAAAAACATTCGTTTATTTTACTTGAATTACAATACACAACTCTTTTATACAAGAGAGGGGCGACCGAATAATCCCCTTCGCCAAAGTATTATTTAAAAATAATATTTCAAAATGAAAAATTGCAGGTACGTTACTTATGATATTTTGTAATTGCGTCCCTGCCGGATTGTAAACCAATTAAGATTCCTTTTGTTTGTTTTTTTTTAATTATCCACGTAAATAACAAGTAAAATAATATGGATGTTTAAAACTTTTTTAAAATATATATATAAAATATGTCAGGGAGACAAACGAAGACCTTCGCGTCTATAACAGAAGATTTATGGTTTAACGTTTTAGAGCCAAAATGTCAAAAGCGGGGATTATATATATATATTATATATATAGATATATATATATTCTTTTTAATAAAGCCAGTAAAAAAAATCTGAAAATTATATTTTTGTTGGAATAATTTGTACACAAACCTGCCAAGTGTACGGATGGGATGGGTAGGGGATTCATTCATTACATCCCTTTACAATTTCACTGCTACGTAGGCCTCCCCCAAGAAATGCCGCAATGCACGGCCCCGAGCCACCTGTATTCATCGATTTCATTGCATGTCTTACCAGGTCGTCACTGCATCTAGTGGAAGGCCGCCGTAGGAATAAGTATAAAAAATACATATTTTTTATTTTATAGAATAAGGGTGGCAAACGAGCACACAGTCCAGTAAGTGAATGCTGTGACCCACAGGCATCTACATCTATTCTAGATTAAGAATCTAAATGCAGGTGCGTTGTCGCTGAGGACTAAGATGGAATGCATCGTTTCCAGTAAAAAAGGTCTCTGGTTCTCTACACTCACCATACGTAACACAACAGCATTAAGCTGCTATTTTACGCTGGTATTCTGTGAGAGCGTGGTCCTTGCTCGGTCGAGCCGACACATTTTTGTGCTAGAACCATAAAGTAGTCGCTGCGTGATTCTACCACGTAAATACATTGTTCAATTTTAGTTAAAATATAAGTCAATTGCAGTACGTTGGTCTCGCTTAAACTCGAAACTGTGGCTTGACCGATTCTGAAGAAATTTTTGAGTATTTTTGAGTGGATGGTTTAGATTCAGAACAGAACCAGTAGGTGGAGCTGTTTTCGAGATCTAGAAATCACAACATGTTTGACGCTTTACCGATACGAATCTCCGCGTCGAGCGAGGCATTGCTCGTTACGATCGACCCTAGGAAGCATAATCGGTCAACTACTCGTACCTCCAACAGCGAGCCTTTTAGGTTAAGCTCTGAACTGATTTCAATGAAATTTTGCACACTGTGCAGTTTGGTCCAACTTGAGAGATAGGATAGTTTTTATCCTCATAAGTGACACTCAATATTTTTTATTACGAATTTAAGGATTTTTTATATGAAGGGTCGTCGAAAAGGGCAGAACAACGTTTGCCCGGTCACCTAATAATAATATAAAGTATATTGCGTCTATGCTTAAGCTTATGTTGAATGTTAATACTAAATATAAAATAAAGTAAAATAATTAAAAAGGACCCAAACAGGCGGAAGCCCTCTGTAGGACCAAACGGCGGGGGTATTGGGGAGAGGGTAAAAAATCGGCGGACGATGCTGGGATTTGTATAATTAGTGTAGATTGTTGACTGAAAACCAAATCAAAATAGAAATTCAATTGAATTATTTTTTTCAGGGGGGTTTAATAGATGAAAATGGAGCCGAAAAGAGTTTTTATTCTTGCATATTAGTTCTATGTGTGTTGTTATTTATTGAGCTCATTAAGTAGAGTACAAATATAGTTAAAGTTAAAGTTACAGCCTATATACGTTTCACAGCTGGGCACAGGCCTCCTCTCATTTCTGAGAGGGTTCGAGGGCTGAGAAATGTTTGCCGCGTTGCTCCAATGCGTGTTGGCGAACCTCACAATATATGTATAAAAATGAAAATGTGTCTCCGAAATATTTCTTTCTTATTTCTCAGTCATGCAGGTTTTATTTCTCAGACACCTGAAACGAAAAATGGGTACCTAATTTACATGGCAATTTAGATGGAATATTATAAAAATAAAATTTAAATTAATTTAATAAATTTTACTTTCGTTTCAAATAATTACATACTAATTGAAAATCATGTGCTATACACTAACTGAACAACTGAATATAAAATTAATGATCAAAAGTCTGAAGTGAATGTAATTTTTCATGTTACTAAGTATTTCCTAATATTTTTTATAGTTGAGAACAATACCTTAAAATTAATAGTATAACAGATAAATACCCTAATAGCAGAAGTATAAGATGCGTTACACTACTCAGCTTTATATACTAACGTAATCTGCTCTCCTGAAAAATTACGATCCTGTAATGAGGGCTAATAATATTCCGCTCACCAGATGTCGCTAGTTGACACTGAGGTAAAGTTTTTTGTTACACAATGTAATTTAATTGAGAAGTTAGTTTAAAATAAAAGTTTATTCGTTTCTAGAGTAATAAATTAATACACAAAACAATACCTGTGGTTTGCTCTTTAACTTTTCGCATATTTTTAACTCCTTTATTATTTTTCTAATTTTATTAATATAGTTACGGTTTGGTATATTTATTTTTAATCAAATTAATAAAAGTAACTAATAGTACAGAAAGTTAGATAAAATTTTACATTTATCGAAAGAATTAATTTTCTCGCTATGAAATCTGTCAAATACTTTACCTCACTTTTAAGTGGCGCCGCCCTGGTGGCAGAAAAATCTATGGATGCCCTCATTAATGTATTATTTGTCTTCTAGACCATCGATATGGGGTTTAAAGTTGTCATTTTTAGACCGTTTTTGTTACTGGCGTCTACCTCAAAAACTATAGGTAGGAATCTACTAGTTAGAAATTAGAAGATTCACATATCATGTACGAAAAAAACCTGACAATATGGATTCATAATGTTGTTTGTAAGCGGTGACCAAAACAAATGAACGTTTTTAATAACTTTTTTCTTATAATAAAAGCTTTACTACTTAGTTTCAAAAAAAATTATTGATCATAATATGTATGTAAGGAACCCTCATATAGAGGAGCCTAACTCGCACTTGGTTGGTTTTAGGTGATTCTGTCTAGTTGGCATGCGTCAGCGGCGTCAACACTAAAATAAATATTTAAAAATATACATACTACATACATATTTAGGAATTCATTAAAAACTTGTTATAATGCTCAGTATTTTTATTTCTATATCAATCAATTTTAATTTGTTTTACCAACGGCTGTTAAAATTTTTATATAAGAAAATCAAATCAAACCAAAAGATCGGCTTGGCAGCGTAGTGACTACGCGTTCGGTTACAAGGAGTTTGTGCAATATTCCGTGGCTTGTGTTACTAATTGTTGCGGGTCTGGATTTTAGTCCAATTATTTATGTACCTATGTAAAATATTTCCCAGTGTAGATTGATAATTTAAAGTTTAATCATTTTAGTTAAAAGTTTTTCTGGATATCTATCATTATTTAACTTTCGAATGATAAAAGTTTCATTTTGCTCTTCTTGTTTAAGTAATAATAAATACTACGACAATTTAGTAGAACTAGAATTAATTGTAAAATTTTTAACAGATTCAATCGTGGTTTTTTTTATTTATAGGATAGGGTGACAAACGAGCACACAGTCCACCTGATGGTAAGTGGTTACTGTGACCCATAGACATCTACATCTATCCTCAATAAAGAGTCAAGATGCAGATGCGTTGTCACCCGTGAGGACTAAGATGGAATGCCTCTTTGCCAGTAAAAAGGGTCTCCGGTTCTCTACACTCACCATACGAAACAGCAGCGTTAAGCTGCTATTTTACGCTGGTTTTCTGTGAGAGCGTGGTCCTTCCCGGTCGAGCCGACCCATTCGTACTACAACCATAATATAGCTGCAGCATGGCTCTACCACGTAGAAAATTGTGTTAATTTTAGTGGTTAATTTTAACTTATTTTTAGTTATTCTGTGACCATGTGCAAACAAAAATACTCTAGTTAGGATAGTTAAGCTATATTAACTTACTAACAACAGATAAGCATTTAAATATTTTAATTCAATATTTTACCATCATCGTCATTACAGCCCTTCACAAGTACATGCATAGGCCTCCAAGAAATACCACTAAACGTGGTTCTGAGGATGGCATCCTTCAACTTCCTACACGTATCACCAGTTCATCACTCCATCAAGTGGGTGACCGCCCTACACTTATATATTTATAGTATTTTACTTAATAGTTATTAACAAAGACAATGTAATCACTAGGTAGGTAGATAAGATTTATTAAGTATTATTATTATTATATGTATAGATTAAGTTTTTGGTAAAAGTAGAACGTGCCGCTATTGCCGCGAATGAGGAGATGATGTTATTGTAACGTCATCGCTCGCGTGCGTGGCAAGCGCGAAGAGGCGCCGCGTCACCTCCACCTCATACAACAGATAACACTCCATCTTGCTCTCTCTATCATTGGACGCTAACTGAACAAAGAGAAGGACGGCAAATTAACCGCTAGTCGTACAGCAATATCAAACGGCAAACTTTATTCCAAGTTGGCGGACCGGCGGAACCAGCCACAGCCAGCTCAGTTATTTTATAGCCGTTGTTGGGACCGTACGTCTATTTTTACTTTACTAATAACTTTTCGTAACTTCAACATGACGTTACGCTGCGTATTAGCTGTTCTGGCACTAGTTGGGGCTACCATTGCCGGTTCCGAGGTCACCGAACTTAAAGTTGATGTAGTAAGCGTCCCCGAAGGATGCACCGTAAAATCCAAACACGGCGATATGCTGACCATGCACTACACTGGCACGCTCGACGATGGCCACAAATTTGACTCGAGGTAAGTGAAATACAAAAAACTTTTCATAAACTTTTAATATTTTGAGCACCAAGAGTATATGATGTGTGTTAATTTTAAATTACCTTATTATATACATGTTATTGTCTATTAATATTACCTAAACTTATGTTTAAAGCTAAATCCGGTTGGAGATTAGAAGAGGGAAGGGTGATAAATAAAATATCACCAATGCAGTGATAAGAATATAAAATTGGAGCTACAATTACATAGTAGCACAGTAACAGAACAAACTATTTAATTTATCTAATAGCAAAAACAAATATTATAAGTGCTTTAAGTCGTTAAAATAACATTAAAGCACTATAATCTACAACTTTCAATTTAGTATTAAAAAAATCATTTTACATGCCTACCTATAATCTGAGATAACTACTAACTCGTAGGATGTTTGTTACACGGATAGAGAACTAATATGGGATGGAAAAATGTTGAAAATAAATTTAAATTTTTATTGACCTCTATAGTATCTTTAATGTTTTATGAACATTGTTAAGAACCACTGTAAAATTTAATTGAACATGAACCAACTAATTGATTATTAAACTAGACCTGGGTACTATGTTATTTTAATTGCTACATGGTTACGTGATTTGTGTGTTTATGACATTGTTATTTTTACATGGCGCTTATTCCATGATAAATTTGATTTTTCCATTTGCACATATTTTTCCTTAACATTACCCTTTTAATAATATTTTTTAAAGAAAAACTGACTATAATCATGCGTAGGAACTCCTTACAAAATATTATAGTCACTTTTTTCTATATGCCTATGTACATGCATTTTACACACATATTTATGAAACTGGGTACAGTTTTTCATTTACTAACATTAAAATCGTAAAATAATCACGCATATTCTAGGATTAAAATGATAAAGCTATATTTAAATCTTAGGAAATGAAATCTTTAAGATTCTCATTTTTACTCAAAATACCTACTAATATAAAATACTTACTATTATTATTTTATAAGTACCCATCTAATTACATACTTATTATATTTATCACTTTGTTATACTTATCACCTTTCCGTGGGTATCGTAAGTGGCGATAGAAGGAAACTGAAACGGAAGATGGACAGTAGCATCTACCTGATAGGTAACTAGAATTATTAAAAAAAAAACTGCGTTTGCCCTTTATACGCCTGGCAAACGTCGAACCTATTGCATATTCCAGAGAAAATCTATGGTTAAGCTTATGTTCAGCAGTATAGGCTGTAACGGATCAATAGATGACATATATATGTTGATGATATATAATATATTATCTATATAATCCATACTAAAACCAGACTCGTAAAAACTCGCTCTTCATATACGAAAGCCGTATAAGAAAACACTTTCTGTACGTACTGCTTAGTTTTAAGAAAATAAATCCACTCTCACGTTTATTTACACGGAATGAGGAGAAAATTTAAAAACTTTGGCCCTTACCTGAGCAAGCAAATTACTACTAGGTGAAATGATGCTGCAGAATGGAGATGGGGTTACTTGCAACGAGCCGTGAGCCCGTGAGAAACCCGTATTAGACGAAGATATGTAATTAGACAAATGAAGTTATCTTTTGTTTTTTTTTTCAACTCTTCGGAAACTTTCTATATTTTATGCAATATTATATTTTACGAAAATACAACTTTTATTTATTAACATTGCTAATTTAATTGCTGCTTAAGGTTACTCCATACCGTTTAAAACTAGAATAAGAATTCTATTTATTTTTATTGCACCATAAAATAGATTTACTTTTTAGGTGAAGATAAAAAAAAGGTTAGGTTGCAACATTTTGTACTTAAATAAATTGTAACATTATACTGTAGTGCTTAAATTAATATAAACGTAAACACAGTAAGCGCTCATTCGTCAGCCTTCCGGTAATTGATACGATTATATGACAAGATCACAGTTAAATTCAGTGTTGTATATCACAATTGGACACCAAAGCATAGAATAAAATTTTATGCACAACAAATGTTATAGTAGCCTTTTTCGTGAGCTTTATTTCGTCGTTTAAATTTTAAGCCACGGTAATTCTTTTAGAGTTAGGTACGATAGTTCTATAATTTTTAGTGCCTTTCAGTTAATCTTCTAGAAAAAAATACTCCAAAGTCAAGATGTAAGTCAATAACAATTTATCAATTATGTTAATCTCACCTGCATGTGTGTGCTGTTATTGGACGCACAGATAGCGGAAAATCCGTCCAAGAATGCAATAAAATGCAATAGGCACACAGATCCTACAGACTGGTGATGGTGAGTAAGTTACTACCATGAGGGTCTTGAGTCTGTCAGCCTGTTGAGAATGGTGCATTACATACTTGGAAGTCCAACGCCCTTTGTGTTTCCGTAGTGGACTTAAAAAAGGCTGACGATGATCATTCTTTTGGATGATGTGAACCTAGATAGATAGAATTTATGTATAAGTAAATTATATCGTTATATAATTTACTTATACATAAATTCTATCTATCTATCTATTCTATCTATCGTTATAAAACTACATTAGAATCAAATTATTACAGTCCATAAAATAGCAAATTATGTACCAATTGCTTGACATTTTATGTAATTATTTTACACCTGATTTTGTCAAGTTAGAGAATATCAAATAAATATTTTAAAAGACTACAAGTTATTTTTGTTTTAGAAAGCCTATCTATAACGTAATAACGAAACCTTGCATGCGGTTAGGGATTGCAAATTATTCACACGTACCTTTCTCGTCGTAACGAGCGCGTCGAATACACCACCAACAGATGATTGTATTCACTTGTTATATTTATGTCCTCAAAAGAAATAATTATAGGTTAAAATATTTATGATGAAGACATATTTTACTGTTGAGCGTTATTTTAAATTTATATTAAAAATATCTCTTATTTAAATCAATGTTATATATAATTTATGATTTTGAATATTGGTGAAAGATAATCATAGAAAAACCCATTAGACTATCTTACTGTGTACGCGTTGTACAAGGTGACCCTAGAAAATGTTTGTGATTACCGCAATTGATGGCGGATTGTCTACCTAAAAATGTGCGAACTAAGTTGAAAATATAGAAAATGGAACCATCTGAGAACGTAGCGCGTGAGCGCAAATCCATCCGTGCCAATTAGGGAAAAACCTCTTCACTTTACAATTTCTTTGACGGACATCAAAAGTTTCCTTCAAAAGTTGATAAGCGAACATGAAACGTATACTCGTATAGGATATAATATCATCATCAAAAATATTTATTTATATCCGTTTATTCTATGACATGATCGTCTAAAACTCACATCAATTCTTTACACAAGAGTAGGTGCGGCCGATGGCGATTGGTGAAATCCGAATAATAAAGAAAAGCTTAAAGCTTAAATTTATATTAATAATTAGGACTTTACAAAATTCTAAGTATAAAAAGCCGCATTGGGCTGCACCTAATAGTAGCCGGTGAACCCAAGGTGTGTCCGCACATCATACTTTGTATCTACAGGTTATATAAATATATATATAGTTTGCTACAATGAACCAAAGTTTAGAAGAAAATTAGCTGTTTCAAAACTTTCGCCAAATTACCATACAATATAAACGAGCCGGTTCGTAGGAGGGACTCGTTTTATAATTTTTTAATTGTACCAAGCTAACTCACCGCTAAACTGGCGGCTGATTTCATGCACTTTCTTTTCACATCACCGAATTTGTAAGCAAGCTTCTAAATTTGTATAATGGATTGCGGTTCTTCGTGATATCTATTTCTATGCACGCATTTGGGAATGTGACCAAAATTGGTTTGGTTGACATCATTGGACAAGAAAATTGTTTACGATAAATTATACTTTACCTTTTAATTTAAAATAGTTACAAAATAAATTAAAGAATGTTGCAGTAATTGCAACAGTTCCATTGAACTTATGTAAGTTTTTATTAATCATATAATTTGATTACAATGAAATGAATGCACGCTCACCTTGAATATTTTATCTTTATTCCCTTCACATCCGTTTATAAGGTAGTTAACGAGAAAGTTGTAAAGATACCTCTACAACGGTGAAGGGGCACAATTGATTAAGTGTTTTAAAGTTAGTTAACGATTATCTAGTCGGAGAATTTATAAAAATTACCGGTGCGCATTTATAAACTGCCTATATTAAATACTTTGTATTATGTGTAACTTGCCGCTTTTAATATTGACATATTTTATAATTAGAATTAATATTAAGATTGTTAGTAAGAGTTATAGGCAAAAAAACATTTAACTCTGACTTTAAAGTTTATAGATTTAGACATCTCACTAGTATATTTTAGCAATCGATCGTTTATCAGATTAGTCGCGAGCAGCACGGAAATTACATTACTTTAACGTCATTTTAGATTAGCTTGTTAGTCTAAGATCAAAATAAGGTTAAAACCCTTCTATCATCATCATCGTATCATCTATTACCCTTCCATATAATAAAAAATCACAAAATATCTTTATAATACTTCGGAGTCAGAACTTGATTCTGTTAACAATATTTTAAACGACTGAACTCATTCCTACAGAAAACAACTTTTTGACCCCACTGCGCACGTATATTATAAAGAACGATAACCTTTAATAATTTCTAAAAAAATTCAGTATATAAGTATTAACTCTTTATTACACTACCACAAGAGCCGGAAAGAACGAAAGCCGCAGTGCAAATATATTTCCGCTAGCACACTGAGAATTAAATAGAAACAGCGACGTGAAACGGACCTGGATCGTCGTACGTCCTCTAAAGTATATTTTTCAGTACCTGTGTACCTGTGTACACCGGTGTCTAAAGTGTCGGTGTATCTAGTTAAATATTCCGCTGATAATGCGGTCAGAGTGGTCGTAACTTATAACGAGGAGTGTGGTTCAATGGTGCCGCAATTAAGACGCTATTTTTCATCGATAAAACAAAAGCTATGATGGCAACACATTTCCGTAAAAGCATCGGCTGATATTAACTATAATATAACTAGGAATGAG